TAAATAGAAATTAACAACATCCATCAAAGAAACACAAAGAAGCAATGCATATTTGCCAATATTGGCCTGTGTGGCCATAAAAAAGGGGGGGGGGCAGCGAATTTTGCAGATGGCATAACTAAAATAATGAAATCTATGATTCCACTCTGCAATTTCCTATATGGATAAGCATCTTCTCACAAGCTTATAAGAAACGATCTTCATTCAAGAGATGTATTATTATCAAAAATGCAGATGATACCAAATTAAGAGCTAATACCACCAAGAATAGGATCAAAATCCAAAATGATTTAAACAGATTAGAGAGCTAGCCCAAAACTAACAAAATGAATTTCAATAGGGAGAAATAATGTAAGCTTCTATGCTTACTCAGAAAAAAATGATATACATACATATAGGATGGGGAACATTGCATTTGACAATAGCACTGTACATGTAAAAGTAACCTTAAAGTCTTAGCAGAGCACAAGGTGAACATGAGTCAAAAGTGCGATGCTGTTGTCAGACCTCATCAGGAATACTGTATTCTGTTCTAGAAACCACAATTCAAGAAGGATACTACAAACTGGAACATGTCCAGAGAATGACAATCAGGATTATCAAAGATCTAGAAGCCAAGCACTTAGGGAGCTGAATGTGTTTAGCATGAAGAACAGTAAATTAAGAGGGGACATGATAGCCATGTTTAAATATTTGAAAAGCTGTCATGTTGAGAAGAAATCAAGTTTGTTTTCTACTGCTCCACAGACCAGGTCACGGAGAAAGAGATTAAAACTACAGGAAAAGTTCCAGAATAACTTTAGAAATGCCTTGATGGTAAGAGCAGTTTGACAGTGGAATACATTGTCTTGGAGCAAAGTGGGATCTTCATCATGGGGGATTGTTAAAGAGGGGAAGGAGGGAAATCTATTGGAAGTGCTTTGACAGGCATTGGGTTGGACAGCCATTGTACTCTCTTCCAACTCTGTGATTCCATGATAAAGCACCACAGCAAAATATTAAAAGAGAAAGATGCTCACAGAGATGTGTTGAATCCTTTGCACCAGTAATTTCTAAAAGTTAAATGTTAACCTGTTATTCATCTCTAGATATGGAGCAAGAGTTTATTAATTGCATTTTTTTCATTACTACTATATAGGGGATTATTATTAGGACTCAGAATTCTTGCCTAAATGTGTCACCTTCTGGGAAAAAAAGAAAGCTCTGTTCATTTACACCAAATGTAGGATTTATCACAACCTCAAAAGTGCATGAACATAAATCTATGATAATCCCAAATAAAGAATTAGCTAGTTTAAATTAACAAGTATCTTAAGAACCAATGAAAGCTTTTAAAACCAGTTTAGCTGCAGACAAAATTAACTGCACTTCAGTCCCATTGATTCAAGAAGACTTAACTACTAACTTATCCAATTAATTTTAACTAATTTTATCTAAATCCAACTCAACATCTTAACCGAAACAATGCTTTTAAATTTTTGCCTGATTCAATACAGATAAGCTGCAGTAATTGTTCTACTTTAATAGCTATTATTCTTTCTAAGCACGCTGAAGGGTACAAAATCCATGTTTTAATATGTCTATCAAATTGCATGCTGATAGACAATTTCAATTTAGAAACACTCATGGCAGACTCCAGTTCTTACTTACCCATAAAACTCACAGGCTGTTTTGGAGTGTGTCCTCATTTCTACATTTCACCTGTTATTGTAAGGCAAATCTTGGATCTGAACTTGGATAATCTTAGCCCAAATCGAATACTTCTTACAATGGTAATTTTGGGATCTATATAATGACTATTTCTACATCCCAATGCAATGGGACACACATTCATATTTACAACAAGATAAAATGGATGCAGTCATGCCATAAGAGTTTAAGCCTTACTTCTACACTCTTCTCTAAGAAGGCTGCTAGATTATACAAGATCTAACTCAGGGCAGATTATCCAAAGTTTAACGCAGCAACAACTTGGAAATTCATGTCAGAATGGACTTGAGAAACTGTAAGTTGCTTCTGGTGTGAGAGAATTGGCCATCTGCAGAGACATTACTCAGGGGTGGCTCGGATATGTTACTATCCTGTGGGAGGCTTCTCTCATGTCCCCGCTTGGGAAGTTGGGTCTGACAGAAAGAAGTTCACCCTATCTTGCGGATACAAACCGCCAACCTTCAGGTCAGCAGTTCAGCCAGCACAAGGATTTCAACCCATTGTGCCACCGTGTATTCCAGGTATCCACCTGCAACTCACATCATTCTTAGCAAGGATGGTCGTGATAAGGCATGATGGGAGTTGCATTCCAAAACTACTGAGGGGAGGGGATGTCACAATGTGTTTGACCTAACAGAACTATTAACTATTAAAAGCAAGAATATTAAACTCTTCAAAACAGTACGTATATTTTTCAATTTTTTAAAAAAGTTAAACACGTAGGATGGAGTCAATCTATATTATGACCCTCTCTGAATAAAATACATTCCTAACTTTGGAGAATATGAAGAACTCTGATCACAAAACCAATCATAAGTGAATAAAAAGCTCCTGCACACAATTAGTAAAAAAAGGAATCCTATAAGTATACATCATCACTAAATTATTTGTGCAACAATGTTTATGATTCACATAAAGATCATTAAACCCAATGACCAAGAAGTATACAAAACCAAGTGACAGGCTGAACCTTTTCCTTGACTCTTTATCTGCCTTTAAAACATAGGACAGAATTCAATTTATAACAGTATTATCTAAGAAAATTAACATGCAGCATCAGGGTGGATAGATTTTGAGGTAATTTCCAAAAGATTTCTGACTAAATTACTTGCAACACTGACAAATAAAAACTAATTACTGGGTTGATCATATATTCCAAACGTTTTGTAACTCAACATCCACCTGCCAAGATACATCTCTGCACTTGGTTTTAGACTTCACTTTTGGGGCTCAAGTGGGAAAAAACCCAGTTCCTGCATTGTGAATTGCTTCAAAGCTGAACTCTACCCACATGTTTTACATCATCACTGTTACCACCTCCAGAACCTTCTTTTATTAGACCTGTCTTTAAAGGAAATGTCACTCTTGTGATTGCCTTAAGAGACCTGTTAGGTAGAATGTACACAAATACTCTTACAGTAATAATAATAATAATAATAATAATAATAATAATGGATTTTGTCAGGTTCATATATGATGATATATATCTGCTGCGTCATCTATCAGTTTCTACAAAAATCTCTGTAGATTTGGTACTCATAAAATCATAGAGTTGAGTGATGGTCATTTGATCCAAACCCCTGCTATGCAGGAACACATAATCAAAGGAAACATGCATGCCATAATTCCTAAATACATGGTTAAGTCAACTTAAAGATTTCAACCTTCATGATGTTTTCAATCAAAATGCTTATATCAAATCAGCAAAAATTTGGAAACCAACAGGAAATGTGTACACTTAAGAGCATAACTGGAAGTCTACATGAAACAATTATTATTTCTGTTCAAAATAAGCCTATGGAATTGGCTCTGAAAGCTCCTGCTCCCAATTTTTAGCAATTCAATGATCTCTTTGGCCCAAGTAATAAACATCATGTACACTGCAGAATCATGGTTCAGTGCTATGGAATCCTGAGATTTTTAGTTTTATGATGTCTTTAGCCTTGGGTTGCTGTGAATTTTCAGGGCCAAGTTCCAGAAGCATTCTCTCCTGACATTTTGCCCACATCTATAGTAAGCACCACTCTTCAACCTCTGAGGATGCCTGCCATAGATGTGGGCAAAACGTTGGGAGAGAATGCTTCTGGAACATGGCCATACAGCCTGGAAAACTCACAGCAACCCAGTGACTCCAGTCATGAAAGCCTTCGACAACACATTTATTTATTACATTTATTATATTTATATACTGCTTTTCTCACCCCTGGGCAAGCCCCCGGTGGCACAGTGGGTTAAACCCCTGTGCCGGCAGGACTGAAGACCGACAGGTTGCAGGTTCGAATCTGGGGAGAGGCGGATTAGCTCCCTCTATCAGCTCCAGCTCCTCATGCGGGGACATGAGAGAAGCCTCCCACAAGAATGATAAAACATCAAATCATCTGGGTGTCCCCTGGGCAACATCCTTACAGACAGCCAATTCTCTCACACCAGAAGTGACTTGCAGTTTCTCAAGTCGCTCTGACACGACAAAAAAACCCGGGGGGGGGGGGGGGGCTCAAGGTGGTATACAGTGGCAAACATCCAATGCCAACATACATGTAAAAAGAAAAATCGTAATAACTAAACACTAACATATAACTATAAATTAAAATCATTGTCTTTAGCCTTCTCTGCCATAGACTGGTAGTGTCGCTCCAACCACAATTCTCATAATTCCACAGCACTGAGTTAAAGGGGCGTCAAAGTGAATTAATTCTACAGTATAGCTGTACCCCTAATGTTTTTGAAGTAAATGCCAGAATCCCACAGCCTCTTCGATGGTGGCCAAGAGGGTCAATGACTGGACAGCTAGCTTTGCCAAGCGCATTGGGTGCTATGATCTGCTGCCAGGTAGGAGGAGACAAATAAATAAGCCAGAAAAGCATGACTTGCACAGGAGAGCAGCGCATTTTGATACAAAGCCAATGTATACAAGGTTAGAACAGAATGACATATTCTCAGCTGCATGAACTGGTTTGGTCATGCAGGCAACAGACCAGGAAATGGAGAGAAATGCGGGGAACCCATCACTGAGGACAACTAGATCACAACACTAAGCATCCCTATCCAAGTGACATCACCTCTACAACATGTAAATATAATTGCATGAGTCGAGTTTTAGCTAAACACTCAAAAGTATTATGAAGTCCTTTGCTAGGAACTGTGAGCACCCAACAAATGTAGCTTCGGGAGAGAGATGCCGGGTGGTCGGGGGAGAGGATGCGCGATGGCATGGAGAGAAAGCGGCCCCCAGATATCAGGAGGCGCCTCAAGAGGGCAATATCCGCCTCCCTCTGTCTAGCGCGGCTTACCTTCAGAATATCCCCGCGTTTGAAACTGAGCTCGTCATCTGCGGTGGCTTTGAAATCGTACTTGGCGACGGCTTCCATGCTCGGCCCGCCTTTGTGCTGCTCTGGCGGGCGGGTGGGAACGGGGCTCTCGCCGAAGCCGCCTCCTTCTTCTCCTCCTCCAGGACCTCCCGGCAGGCTTCGTGCGCCCTTCCTGAGGGACTCCTGGCTCGCTCCTGGGCACAGACGGGAGACTGCGAGGGCCAAGGCAGCCTAGGAGGAAAGGAGACGGGACATGGAGCCAAAGCAGTCCGGATCAATGGCAGAGAGGCCGAGAGAGAGAGAGAGAGAGAGAGAGACCGCGCCCTCCGCCTCGCCCTCCTCGGCGCTCCACTCCGCTTGGCCGCTTCCTCTTTCTGCAGCCGCGCTCTCCCCTCCCTGGTCAAGGCTGAGTGACAAGCGCTGCGCCCAATGGCAAAGGAACCCGGCGAAGACTCCGCCTCGCTCACGCCCCCAAGCGGACCTCCTCCTCTTCTTCCTCTTCCTCCTAGAGAGGCCCCCACTCGCCTTCTGGCTCCTCGGCTCTACCGCAGGACCTGTGCCCCTGCCCGCCCAAGCCCACCCCAGGAAAGCACAAAAAGAGGCTCCTTCCGCTCACTCGCTGCCCCCTTTCCTTTCTTCCTTCCCACTCCTTATGGGAAGCCCTGAAGGCAGGCTTTAGCCCAGGTATGGGCAAACTTTGTAACTTGGGGGCCATATGCTAGCACTCCCTGCTAAGGAGGTGATGGATGGAAGGAAGGGAGGGAGGAAAGAGAGAAGGAAAGGACAAAAAGGAGGAAGGGAAGGGTGGAGGGAGAAAGAGAGAGGAAGGAAGGGAAGGAGGGAGGAAAGAACCAAGTGAAGGAAGGAAGGGAAGGGGGAAGGAAAGAGAAGGAGAAAAGGAAGGAAGGAAAGAGAGAAGGAAGGAGAAAGAGGAAGAGAGGGAAGGAGGGAGGAAATAGGGAAAGATGGAAAAGACAAGGGAAGGAAAGATAAAAGGATGGAAGGCAAGAGAAGGAAGGACAAAAGGGAGGAAAGGAGTGGAGAGAGGGAGGAAAGAGAAGGAAGGAAAGATAAAAGGGAATGTAGGAAGTAGAAAGGGGGATAGAGGTAAGGAATGATGAAAATGTGGAAGGGAAGGAGGAAGGAAAGAGAAGGAAGGATGAAAGGGAGGAAGGAAATGAAGGGAGGGAGGAAAGAGAAGGAAGGAAAGACAGAAGGAGGAAGAGAAAGGAGGGAGGAAATAGGGAAAGACGGAAAAGACAAAAGGAAAGGAAGGAGGAAGAATAAAAGGGTGGATGGGAAGAAGGGAAGGGGGGAGGAAAGAGAACGACAAAAAGGAGGAAGGGAATGGAGGGAGGGAGGAAAGTAAAACAAAAGGCAATGTAGGAAGGAGAAAGGGAAAGAGGAAAGGAATGATGAGAGCGTGGAAGGAAGGAAGGAAGGAAGGGAAGGAGGAAGTAAAAAGAGAAGGATGAAAGGAAGGGAAGGATGAAAGGAAGGACAAAAGGGTGGAAAGGAAGGAGAAAGAGGGGGGGGGAGGAGGAAGGAAAGAGGGAAGGATAGGACAGTGAGAGAGAGGAGGGCCTGAGAAAAGAGCCCAAGGGGGTGCATCCAGCCCCTGGGTCTGGGTTTGCCCACACCTACTTTAGCCACTATGGAAGTGCTGGTAGTTTGGCACCATTTTATTTGCCATTGCTCATTGCTCCTCCCCCCCTCTTCCCAACAAAGTCCACGTGAGTTATCCATCACCACCATCCAGCCCCGCCTCTTCCCCATTTCCAAACACACAACTCACTCAGCATCCCCCATTTCCAGCATGCAAGGGATGGCGTCCCACTCCCCTTACAGTCCCAAAGAGGCAAACCTAGGGCTTTCAGTTCCACTGCGGGGAGAGGAGGCAGCAGCCCTAATTTCCATGAGACAGTAAAAGTCAAGCTCACAGTATGTCATAAGCACTGCTCCGCCTTGCTATTTCTCAACTGCATCATGTCCCTGCTGTCAGCCAAGTAAAGAAGGGCCTTGCCTTGCTTCTAGCTCGCAGGGGAGGGCCGCCAATCATCCCCACATGCCATACTCTCAAGACACACAACAGCTGTGCCAGAAACACTAGGATGTAAACAGGTGCATATTCTATAAAATACTCTGGAAACAGAGAGACATATTTTAAAAGCAAGAGTGGTCGTTTTGAGCTATTGGATTGAAGTTTAGCTCAGTTAGAGTACATTTTAAAAATCAAAGCAGTTTCTTAATGTGAACAATAGGATGTTAACAGGGTTCCAGAAGCAATGTTAACAGACTGTGTGTAAACCAAGCATAGGCAAACAGTCCAGGTGTTTTGGACTGCAACTCCCACAATTTCTGACAGCTTCAGGTCCCTTCCTTTTCCTTTTCCGCTTAAGTGGCTGGAAAATGTGTACCCTTTACAGAACTAAGTATGTGGTAAGGACTTTGAAAACTACCAGTATTAAAAAAACTCTAAAATCAGGGTAGTAAATAAAGAGCAACACTCAAAAACCAGGGGAATTCCAGACAATCAATCAGGGCCAGCTCCCAAAAAAGGATTCCCCAGGCAGCAACTAGCCAGGCTTTGAAACTGCAAGGCCATTGAATGCTAATCAACATGGCCATTTGCAACATTCACACCTGCCTCAAGCAGACAAGAGTTCTTTCTCCCACCCTGGATATTCCACAGATATATAAACCCCACTTGCCTAGTTTCTAACTGTCCCCTCAATCTCTGAGGATGCCTGCCATAGATGTGGGTGAAATATCAGGAGACAATGCTTCTGGAGCATGGGCATACATCCTGGAAAACTCACAGCAACCTACTTTGAAAGCGACCCACAACATGTGGGCAGAGTGGGTGGAAGGAAAGCTATAGAGTGAGAGTACCGTAGGTGATGTTTTCATCAGCATTGCTAACTGGAAGGTGTGAATGGTGCCCTCAGCACTGTACACTGGGCACAAATGTTGGGAAATTGTGATTTCTTTTGGAATATCTTAGAAGGAAGAGGTAAGGTAACAAGAAGTGAAAGCATGTACTGATTCTTTCCTCTTCTAGTAGCAATGCACACAGCCCTATTTACATTTAATCTTAATAAGATCACACTACATCCAATAGGGCTTACTTGAGGGTTAAGCCCCTACCCTAGAAACCTTTAAAAAGAACCTCAAAACCTGGCTCTTCCGCTGCGCCTTTGGTGAGTAGGTATTCAACCCCGCACTATTGTTTAGCCTCAACGTTTCTGTCATTGGAGTACACATCCCCCTCCCCCCTGTGGGAAAGTTTGATCCCACAATCCCCGCTATAATGAGTCCTCCTCCGCAAACAATTTGTTTCTCTTTTATCTCACCCAAGTTTATAACCAATTTTAATGAGTCTTTCTTTTAATCATTACATGTAGCCCGCCCACTGTCATTGTGTTATTGTAATTTTATATCATTATTTATTCACATGTTTTATGTTATTATGATGTTGTGCTTTGTTTGCGTTTTCGGCTTGCGTTTCCGGTCTTATTTTATTGTAATTTTGTTGTTTGGGCTTGGTCTATGTAAGCCGCTCTGAGTCCCCATTGGGGAGATGGTGGCAGGGTATAAATAAAGATTATTATTATTATTAAGTGTACATAGAATTGCAGCATTCCATTATTTACTGCTCATAGTCTACAGCATAATGAAAGTCAAAGCTCCCCCTTCACACATGATCTGGAACAGGACACTACATCGCCTTTTAAAAATAGTAATAGCACCACAGTTGCTTCAATAGTCAAAAAAGCAGTAACTTTTCAATAATTACACATCTATATTTAGCTATGAATACGATTACACATAGGAGTCCTTTCAAGATAAAGACCATAAAATTTAATGTATACATTTTAGTGAAAAAAATAGTGACTAAATGTGCATATGTAAAATATTGGTTCTGAAGAAACACACTTTGTTTAGTTTGATTATACATGTATGTGTCAAAACAAGCGTTCTTTATGTAAGAAAAGGGGACTCTCTTTTTCAAGGCCGCAATTGACAAGCACATGCAGATGGCAAGCACTTTAATAACTGCATTATTTTTTTAATCAAATGATCTGTTGCTCATATAATAGTTACTTTCTCGTTGAATTAAAGTCTGTCATAAATTTAAACCAAATAAGTACTGTAACTGATTAAATGTTATAACCCCAACTAGAAAACAAGGAACTATAGGAAAATTTAAGTATGTAACCATACCATTCAAAAACCCATATGAAGAGAATTCTTTCAAGCAATTATTTTTAACACTCACATGTCATATGACACAATCAAAGATTTTCAGTACAAGCAGCCTTACAGTGGTACCGAAAATCCTACATACATGTGTAATCAAAGACCTTGATATTTTAAAATACAAAACGTATTAGAAATATTTGTATGTTACATATAATAACAGCCGTATTTTGCAAATCCAGATTTGCAAAAACTATGCCCATGCAATCTAACTTTTTACAGGTAGTGTAACAATTTATGCAACCAAATGCTCTTATCCCACATCCATCTGCAGCTGTTTTAAACGAACAGACATCAATCCACTTGCCAATTTGCCAGGGTGGAGGCCCTCAGCCATCTGGTGATGTCTAACTTATACTGCAGTTTATGAGTAGATAACAACATTAGAAATCTGTTTCAAACATCAGAGGTACTCCTACATTATCCTACCCAAATTAAAGAAGAAACTGCATATCTCATGTATCTCCTTTGCAAACAAGGGGTGGGTGGGTGTAAAACTGGCAGTTACACTACATAAGTATGAGGCTAGATAGCAAAGCAACATCTGTTGTCAGCTATAAAAGAAAACTAGTCTCCTAAGCATCGCTAGCCCCCTAAATGCCAACTACTAGTGGTTACTGACCCTAGCCCCACTTAACTTCCTGTTACACACTTGTTTTGTCTCACTGCTTCTGAAGACCTCCAAAGCCTAATGTATACTGAAATATGGGCTCCTCAATTTCTTTATCTAAACATAACAACAGAAGAAGGGGCTTATTTTTCCTGTCCAGTATGATCAAATCACTTCTATTTTTTCCCCTGACATATATGAAATTTAGGATGGGAAATGGCTTTTTAGTTTGTTAATGGCCAACATGGCATAGATGATGGGTGAAAAGATTTGTAGTTGCTGCTAGTCACGTGTAACCAACTAAAAGAGCCCAATGAAAACACTGGTAAGCCATGAAAATAAAATATGATATTTAGAAAGC